AGAAAAGTATGTGATACACCAGCTTCTAATTTAATTGCAACCAAGATCAATTGTTATAACTCAAGTTACTATCCTGATCAAATTCTTGATCAAATTACAGTTTGTAGCACTTAAGCTGACTTTCAACAATACTATCCTGTCTGGTATTTGCATCTTTTAAAAAAATTTAGCAGTTGTTAGTAACAATTATGGTATAACCTATGACATAACTGAGTTCCAAATTTTAGTCATGTGTTTGACACAAGCTTGTAACTAAAAGGATGTATAAATAAGAGGACTTTGCGCATCCACCGGCGATCATCACATCACTGCTCACCAGATGTGACTATCTAACATGAAAAAGGACTTAACACATTTGACAGCACTTTTAACAGCACTGTTGGTTAGAACTACGATTGAAATTTAATATAATGAAACAGGCATCCCAAAATTTCTAACAGGATTCTTCTGAGGGAATAATTGTGTCACTTAAAAGTAGAGGAAATGACTGAAGTTCTGTTTTTTTTTTAAACTGAAAAAAAAAAATAAAATAAAATAAAATAGTGTGTTGAAGTCCCTTTGCATGAAAGAAAGAAAGAAAAAAAAACAATACATGTTACAATGATTAAATCATAGCTAACCCAGTTGTAAAACTATGATATCAGCTGGGGTTGTATTTGTAAGAAAATGTCATAAAATGGCAGCAAACCTACTTTTCCATCATCACTTATCTCTTTAGAGAGGACACCAAGGCTAGAGCAATTTTAACTGAGTGGCAAAAGTAATCTGGAATTGCTTTGTCTTCCCTTTACTTTGCTCTCAGATTGATCCAGAAAATGCACACAACTCTTAATCAATCAGACATAGAAATAAAAATGTAGAACTAAGAACAATTGTGACTTGAGCATTCACATTTTCCTATGCTTTAAGCAGTTTTCTTGTTTTTCACTTTGAGTTTTCATTGGAAAATGTAAATTTTGTTCAGATTGGTCCCTGAAATTACTTACAATAGGTTTTGCTTTTTTGACACAGTTGAAAACAGCTCTAAAATAAATTTGCTAATCTCTTTTCTTTTAAAGCCATCATTGCCAGCCAATTTTTTACTTTACCTTATTGTTGCTTCCATGACAATGTTATTGTTTCTTTTTTTGAAACTAGAGAATTCTAAGTCTAGGAAAAGTACAAATGAAAACTATTGCCACAAGATGTGCTGTTAAAGAACAAATAAAACATCTGTGGACATTTCATGTTCTTCTGTCAAAGGACTTTGTAAATGCACATAATTAATATATAAATTAAAAGCAACTTAGGTTCCAAGATGGCTGATCTTAACCCTTTGACTCCCTTAACTCCCATATATGACCAAGACAGGTTTTCTCCTTACATTATCAATGCAATATCAAGCAGACGAGTGATGGGAATAAAGAAAAATGTCAATTAGAGCATTACTAGTTCATCTAACACCAAATTCTCCAGACTAGCATTAGAAGGATTGTATTGCAGACAGTAAGGAGAGTTACTCAGATGAGATTATGGAGGTGAAAAGGTTAAATGTGTAGCAAGAGTAATCATAGTATTGTGCTATTCCACTTGTTTAAGACAAGAGGAAACCCTTTGGACTAAAAATTTCATATTTTAAATCCACATCCAAAGAATCATAATTATGATAAAAAAGCAAAACATTCCTAATTTTTTTTGTTATTTGATTTTTGTTAGCAGCCTTATGTTTTCAAAGGTATTTCTTTTGTATCAATTGCATTTGACTGAAGTTAACAAAAAAATTAACTATTGGGTAAAATTGGCTTCCCTTTGCCAAAGTATGTATTTGTGTGACTGTTTTTCACTCTTCTGTCAAAAACTGTCCCAAAGTCAAGGGTATTTACAAGATGCAAACAAGTTATTTGTAAATTTTGTCACAAGCACTACACTCTTAGTAAATGTTGGCTGTAAAATGAAGGTCATGCAATACATGATTATTTTTTATGGCGGAAAAACTATCATTAGTAATGATAATAATAGTCCCTTAGTCAGATGAAGAGAGTAGACCATGTGTAAGCCTGGTCAGTCACCTCTGAGGCTCTCCTCCTTTGCAGAAATTTCTTTTCTAAGAGCTCTCTGGTGCATTCCTTTTCTTTGGATAGATTGCTGTCATAGCTTTTGGCAAAGATTTCTGAAGTCCTGTGGAAAATCCAACCACTTGCTTTTCCTGGAAGGTACACATGAAAGGCAATAGCATAACCTAGGGTCACTTGGTACTTAGAGAAATTAAAATATTAAGGGAAAAATGAAAATAATATATTCAAACATAAATAAATGCATAACCATGTATAAATATCCAATGTAATGAAACATTCACAACCCCCAATGTATTCAAGGCTTGTATCTCAACTAATCCCCCTGTGTGACTCTTTTCAGGCACCCTGCCAGACTATCCCCTTTCAAAATGAAGTTCTCACTTTCTGTTTACTGTACACAGAGAATTTGACTTACCTTTGAGGTTGTAATACATAACACATCTTCAATATGAACAAAAACCCCATAGTTTGGTGGACAGGAGAAATAATGAACTCCATCCAAGGATCCACTATGATTTCCAACTAAGATCAAGAAGAGGGTCAGACAATGAAATTTGAGCAGCAGTACTGGGAAAAAAGAACCAAAAAAAACTGCCATATGAACTTTTATTAATTATTCCTGTTGTTTATAGCTTTAAATCTTACCTGGTGAATCTAAGTGGAGTCCAATGCAAGATTCTTCTCCATTAACAGGACCAATGTATTTCACTGTACCTAGAAATAAAAGTACATGCAATTAGCTGCCTAACAAATGATAGCAAAATGTAACTTGGCAATAGTATCAACCATCAATTTTCTATCATTGTTTATGATCTAGGAAACTAAATACATACCAGTAAGATGACTTCGTACAACAACATGATCACCAATACTTGGCAAAATCTCTGATCTTAGAATAAAGAAAACCAAAATTGAGACTCTATAACTTACATCACAATGATCCTAAACAACAAAATGAAGTAATTTTAGGGGACAGTCATTAATTATTGTTGCTTGACCAAGGCTGGGGGACTTTGGGGGTGGGTGGGAGTAGTTTTCGGGAGGAATGGAGGGGATCACTCACCCCCAACAGAGTATAAAGGGAGAGCTATAGTAAATTGACTGACAAGTAATGTTTCTTTTTGAAAATACAACTTAACATTTCAAACAAACAACTTATTTACCACAATCAACAACAGCACCACCAAAACCAACAGCAAACAATACTTATAATTAATGGCAATCACTCATACTTATGAGATTTCTTGTCTGTGTGTCCATCTAATGTTACTCTGCTTTCTTCGGCAAGGGCTCTGACACACCCTTGACATTTACATTGGGAATACATTTCATTTGGTCTGATGGGTTGATGCTGTGCACCAAACAACAAATAGATTAGAAATAATTCAGATCATCAGTAATTACCAAGAGCTGGCAATGCTGAATCATCAGTAATTACCAAGAGTCAGCAATGCTGAATCATCAGTAATTACCAGGAGCTGGCAATGCTGAATCATCAGTAATTATCAAAAGCCAGCAATGCTGAGTAATATTATTTTAATCTTGTAATACCTTGTACTTGAAGCTTCAATATCTTAAATATACAATACAGTAACAAACTCCTTTTCATACTTGAAACATGAGTTTCAAATTACACTCACAAAACTTGCATAACACCACAATCTGTCAGGGAACAAAATTAGTATCTACCTTTCCTGAATGAGCCATCACAATTTTACCAATTAACTAAATTTTACTTTATTAATTTGTTATTTTTTGTGTATGGCAGCAAAATTGGTTAGGTGATGTAGTGAACTATGTGCAGTAAACTTGAATGTAGGAAATTAACTCAGCATGTAGGAAACCAGCATAAATCAGGTAAAATCTCAGTACAAAAAAGGATCAAAAGAGACAAGAACACTTACACATGACCCTTTTGGTGGAGAAGAAAGTGATTTGAATCCTATCCTTCTTTGTTGATTAACTAACCTATGGAATGAGGAACAAGTAACATCAAGTTGATATCAAATCAAACTGACTGATGTGGGAACCAACACTGAGTCAAAAGAGAAGAAAATGAAATAAACTTCTCTCCATAGATCTCAAATGAAGAGGGAAAATCTCCACCATACAGTGCCACTCACATCTTTTTATTACAGTCCACTAATTGACTTGGACTTTTTGCCTGTGGAATATGTGGCAATTCCACTTGGTGGTCTGCTGAATCCTGCAAATAAATGATAAAAGTAAACACCAGTAATTCATTGACAGCAGTCAGAATGCCATCTGGAGAAACAATTCTTAAGAAGAGAATGTAAAAGGGAACACAGTGTTAATTATACTCACTGTTGGTCTTTTGGCCGCAGACATTGGCACACTGTAAATCAGTAAAAACAAATTTCCGTTAGGAAAAACCATTACTCTTCTTCTTAAAAACTGTAATAAACTTGAAGGCCAGAACAAAGAAACCAATGTGACTTACGTATTTGTGCTCCTTTTTTGATGGTCTTGTTGACTCCCAGCTTTTGATACACTTTTCTGGCTTCCAACAATCATCTGTACAGAGCATACATGTGTAAAACAGATTACCATAATACATTGGTATTACAGGTAACTTCATTTTCTTGGTCCATATAGTAAGTTAAGAAACCTATTTTTTTCTGCCTGGATTTATGGCTTGCATGTTTGGCACTGGAGCCATAAATTCAAGCTGAAAAAATCTAGGTCTGTAACTTAAAGTTCAGACTCGAACCTGGTTAGTAAGAGGTATTTTTATCCAATTAAAACCATTCTATAAATGAAAAGCTAGCGAATAACATGCTTATTAAAAGGAAAACCTACCCAATGGTTTGACCCCTTTACATTAAGTTTCTCTTATAATCTGAGTTTGTGATGTACTTGTAAGTTGGGTTCCCCGTTCATTTGTTTTTCACGTCCTTAAATCATGTGACCTCAGTGACTCAGAATGTTCTGTGTAATGGTGGTTATTTGGTTGTGTTGTTATCAATACAAACATTGTTATTTGCAGGCTATTGCACCACATGTTCAATTGAAGTAATGAGGTCTACAGCAATAAACCACAGGCAGACAACCCTGTGGGTTTGAGGCTGTGTGATTAAAGAAGAAATTCAGTGAAGTTCTGGAGGCTTTTGGCCCAGAATGGTCCCGAACTTTCCCCCTTTGTGTTTTTCCTTTGCCTTTGGAGGGGCATCAGTGCACAGTGGCAAATTAACCGTCCCGAAACCCCTGAAATCACTCAAGACAACACAGAAAAACAAAGCTTATTGAACTTTATTTATCTGACTGCCATTAAGTGGATTTTGGGGATGAAATGTTACAATTTGTGGTATTAAAGAAACATTTCTCAGGATCACTTGCATCTTACCAAAATCAACCATTGCAAATTACAAACAATGTAAGAGTTTGACTAGCATATCAAATAACTGATGTCACCCTGCCTCAAACCCACAGGGTTGTCTGCCTGTGAATAAACTTGGAGAAATTTACATCAGAGGAATTTTGTTCCTTTGGTCCTTATAGTACCCATCCCTCAACTCAATAGGCCATCAAATTTACATCTATCATTAATAATTTAATTATTTATCTTTACTCTTTTTAACTTACTGGAAGTATAGTTTGTTTCTTCCTCAGTTCCTAAAAGGAAACATATTTGTTGTATTGTTACAATACTGTTACATAATTCAAATTAACAAATTCATTAATTTGGGAAATTTAGACAGGCTGGCCCTATTCATCTTCAAAGCTGGTTTAAAAGCTACACTCCCAACTCTTTGCACAAAGTGCCTGGGTTCTTTAACATTCTCTGTTAACCAGCACTGAGAAGAAGCAGGAGACAGGGCCAGGGTTTACTATCCTTATCTGAGAAGACTACAATGTCTAACCATTTCCAGAAGTCATAGCAAAGGCAGCACATTCAAGATCCTGAGTGTTGGTATAGCCTGGGGCTTGAAGCCCTTGACCTTCCCCATCGCAGTCTAGCATTCCACAGCTAACCAAGCAGGACCAACATAAATCAATAATCACAAGATTATACCACAAAACTATTCACAAATTGACTGTTTACTATCCCAAAGGTTATTATTGTTAGCTAATAATACTATGACACTCTAAGAGAGAAATTGGTGCACAAGTTATATTTACCTCCATTTCTGTTCTCATAGAATGCAACTGCTTCTTGAGTCTAATGTTTTCTTTTTCTTAAAAAAATGAAATAAAAGAAAACAATGATAACCATTTAATTATAAATTCAACAAGCCATAGCCTTATTGAGCGCTTAGCCATTATCATATGGAGCATGGAGCAAGCAGATGACATATGGCAGGGAATCAGTGAAGGATGAAATCAGAATCAACTTTCAAGAACAGATTGCATGATGGTGAGCTTTATGTTATCTATTCAAGGTATCTGCTGACATTGTGCATCAATGAAACAGGGCAGAGCCTCAAGTTGATTTGCTGCCAAAGATTGAGATTTTGAGCACATAACCATTGATTGTGATGCCACAGAGGGGAAAGGGGAGGAGGAGGAGGGGTGAAGAGGCACACCCTAGTGGAAAATTGTGAATGATAGAAAAGCTAAGATATGTATTCCCTTATTCTGAGCATTTTGTGGAGATAGTCCATGTTACCGGTCCTCTCTTGCCATGGACTTCTCTGTTCAGATTAATTTCATACCTGCATCGGAAGAAACTTCTGTCTGACAAGCAATAGTGTTTGAATTCTTTATCAGAACCTCCTTTAGTAATGGACTAGTACTGCGGTCTGTCAAGATTGGCTGAACTTGGATTGTCTACAAAAGAAATTATACGGTGAAATACAGCCACCTAGACTGACCAATCATAGCATGCAAACCAAGCGAGATAGATGACCTCATCAATTATTGACTGATGTATGATGTGAAGTCTCACTGACTTGTCATCTTGAGCAAGCAATGATCACCACTTTTATACTTGTCCTGATAAGTTGCTTTTAAGTTAAGATAATCCCCCTTCCCCTCTAGCAAGTAGTTTACCAGCCACCTGGAGAATTCATACAGTATGTATTGTTTGCATCTGTGATGATACTCACAACAGACACACAGCAAATTGGAATCTGTTTGCTAAACAAAATGTTTTGATCACAATAGTTTCTATCAGCACAGTTTTTAAAAGGTAATCAAATGCTCAACATATAATAGAACTATCTATGTTTGTTGCATTGAATCTACTTGTTTCTCTTCTGAATTCTCCAGTTTATTTTTGAACATGTCTAGCTTTATAACTTGGATTTAGTTCACATTAAATTTTTTTGTCCTTTCGTGACCTTGCAGCACATTATATCTCACCTTAGTTTGTGTTGGGTGTTGATTCTGTGACTTGTTTGATGCAGTAGAACTTATTGATGAAGATCCAATGCACCCACTTCCCTTAGAACCATCTTTATCTCTCATTTTCAGTACTATAACTTGATGTTCAAGTCTGCAAACAATTTTTTTATGATAGGCTGAACTGTACACACATTTTGATTGTTTCTTACTTATGATCTATTGGAGGACAGACTCATAGATGACATCAACATTAACAAAATTTTGTTTTTTTGTCACATAAATCAAATAAACTTCATGTTGCTGTGAGTCTGTAAAATAACAGATCATAGAAGATATCAGTGCGAACATCAGTGACACACTTGGCTGGGCCTCATGTGCCACTATTTTGTTCTTGCACACAAATGCCTGGTTTAATCAAGAGTCCTGTACGAAAGCTGTATTTTTCCAAGCAATCAAAAGGACTTTAAGTATTTGTGCCTTGCTAAAGACATGAAGCTAAGATGATGTTAATTATATCAATCCAGTAGTAAGCCATACAGTAAGTTTTGGGGCAGGGTTTTCCCCATTTTCTCACAACAAAATTGTCAAAACTACAGAAATAATTAAACATTTGACATGAAAACATTTTTTTTGGTTTCATGCTATCTAATGACATATTGTATTTGTTTTGTGGTCTAATATATCACACCTGTGTCTCAAGAGTGAAACACATGGTAATTTTTTTCTTCTTGGGGTGGCTGCTTATCTGCTGTGATTATTTGCTTCAATACACCTTATTTACTGGAACTTCTAGTGGCACTTTGATGACTCCTGAGCATGTTGAAGCATCAAACATGTAGCTCAGGTATGTATTGTTTCTGAGTAAAGACAGAGAAACTGTCTCAGTCAAGCTCTTTGGGGATTTTTGGAAAGGTAAGGAAAGAGATAAAGTGTGCATGGTCATTAATTCAAATGCTAACGTTTTTTCTAATCCCATAAAATATACAAGGGTGAGCTTCGACTGGAATGTTTCCTTTTGACCAGACGGAGCCTACAGCTCTAACACAACTGGATGATTCCTTCACCTGTAAACCTTTGTGACAGTGTTCTGTGCACTAAACTCATCAATATCTGTCTAAAGTACAATATTTTCATTCATTTTGGTTGTGCTATATCTTTATCACTCTGTATTTGCAGGTTTGTTTTTACGCTTCTACCTGTTGTATGATTTTTGTGAATCACGTTTTGGGTTTTAGGGGATCAATGGTTCAAAGTTCATTATTGGTTTCAATTTTTGGATCACTTTGGCAGCTTTGTAATTGTGCTTAGCACATAAATTGCTGTAATATCAATAGTTGTGTTTGGGACATGAAATTTAAATAACTAGCCCTGACATTCTTTTTTTTGCAAGACAATTTTTTCTTGTGCAAGACGTCTTTTTTTTTCCTTGCAGGAAGTGATTAGGCAGGGGGAGTGTCTCATGAGAAAAGTGTCATAGTCTACAGTTTAAGTCCAATTATCACCATCGTCTGCTGTTTTTTTAATAACTACAAGTATGATTTATTTTGTGGTAAGAGAAGCTTGCCTGAACAGTGGATACTTGTATGTACAATTTTAATATCCCGTCTTGTGAATAGAATATTTATTACTTGTTATAGTCATTTCAGAGATGTTTTCAGAACACTGAAATATGAACCAAGAACTATTAGGGGCATAACCCTCAACTATTTCTGGCATGTTTTAAGAAAAATAGAACCACCTTATGATGAAACCTATTAACAGTGGTTCATTTAGCATTGCAGGAACACATTCATAATGGAACATTCACATCAAACAAAAGATACCAACTTGCTCAATCTGAAAACAAAAAACTTGCCTGAGATCTAGTCTGACTTCATTTGTTGTAGTTACCTAACTGTTCTGCAGTTAACAAGATAACCTTAAAACATGCCTTTTTTTATTCAACGCTGGAGCAATCAATGCTAATTTATCAGGTCCCATGGAATGAAGAATTAATCTGTAACTGTTGCATAATTACAGCCTACAGTTTGGAGTTCTTTTTTATTAGAACATGAAGAAGAAAACATTCCCAATCTTTTTTAGAGGTTGAAAGTTGTAACTTTACCCAACTGAACTTTTCAAGACTGAGACACTTCTGATAAGAGAACCTAAAAAATGAGGTGAATTTAAATAAGGACAAAGTTCACTGGGTAAATAGTTACAGGGTTGTAAATAAAAAATAACAATGGCCCAAACGACCTGGAAAAAAAAAAGGATATTTTTTCCTACAATTAAATAGGATTCCAATGATAAATCTGCTTTAAAAGAGAATAGAATAACCACTTCGTGCAGAGACCTATCTATTCGGAATTTCATTTCAATGTCCTTTCAGAAGTAGAGTGTAACCTAGTATCTCCAAAGTATTTCTACTGGTATGTGAGCTTTCAATGGTCTGTCATTTTGGTGTGCATTTATCTCTAAAGCTGATTTCCAATAGAATGTAGCTTTCTACAACATTAATAAAAATGCTGTATCAAAGAAAATCATCTTGTAAAAAAAAAAATTGGAAAATTTAATCTCTGATAGCACAGCCTGATATGATTGGAATAAATATTTTTTTTCACTGCCTTTCAGGTAAAAAATTCCAAATATTAACATGAAGCAGAAACAATAATCTTAGTATTATGATGAAGTAATTTTGACTGGAATTAAATCTATTTTTATTCTCAACATTTTTTAATGTAAAAAAGACTTTTAGAAGGACCAGACATAAAAAAGTGTTACTTTGGGCAATGATAGTCTATCCCTGCGGGATAGTAATATCTCCCCTGAGCTCATCAGCAGATAAAGTAGTTTACTTTTATAAACAATCAAGGTAGTAGTTTGAAATTTTCAATGAGAATAAATTGAACTCCAAATTTGAAAAAAAGAGAGAAACATTCAGAAAAGATGAGATTATAGCGCCATGATCAAGTGTGGATTTGATCTAGACTTCTAAGTACAATTTGGAAAAAAACAATCCATTTATTGAACTTGCACAAGCATATCACATTTCGTTACCTGAAGTAAACAAGTTCATTTTTGACAAAGGGCAATCTTGAACTCATGAAGAGCATGCAGAGAAAAAAAATAAGGTTTGGACATTTTTTATCAACGTGGTGGTTAAAATCACGGTTCCCTATCGCTGTAATTCACGTTCGCCTCCCAGTCTCGACGATTCTTTATCAAAAAGGCGAATTTGTGACCAGCCGTGGCATTTGTGATTTGAGTTAGCGAGGGAAAAATACGTCCGCATTTTTATATTGCGTATAGTTTATGGATCATCTCAACACGCACACGAAAAAAGCTTTTCAGAAATCAAAAGCCTTTGATCCCACAATGGAGTCTGTTTCTCGGCAGATTGAGGTCACGTACGGAGCAAATGCTTGCAATCAGTCAAATACAAGAAAGTCTAAACAACATTCAGCGATTCCCATTGTTTGCCATGGAAAGTAATTTCCGGAATATTCTACAAAGGATCATTCGCAACATTTCACACGAAATTGTTTATGATGCTGGACACTGAGTAATTGGAAAAACAATTTTCACCTCCGGCTAATTTTCTTTTTAGGGTCAATTTTGATTATGGATATCCAATATTGATGGATGCATACCGCTTTCAACGTAAGCATTTCCATGACCTTTTGTCCTCCAACCTTCGACATCAAAGGATTCCACTCACACAAAAGAAACTTGAAACTATTAAAAATATCCCTTTCCTGAGACGCAGAAAATCGTTTGCATGCATCAAAAGTCATGAGCGGAGAACCTTCCCTTGCACTTTCAATAAGTTCTCAGTAAACGTCCACGAGGGAATTTTATCTTACAACACAAAAGTAGAACAAAACACCTTTTAATTAACCAGTTGACGAGGTAAAACGCTGGAATCACAACACCCGATTGAAGTGCTTTAACAATGGCCAGTAGAAACTTATTGTTCTTACATAAGAAAGCGGAACGACTTTTATCGCTGAAACATTAAAATAGGCCTTTCTTGCCCATACTGCAGCTTTCGTTCGCAGGGAATCGTCGAAGCAGATATTGCTACCCGATCACATTGAGTAAACATCGGGTTAATTGCATATTTATGTGGAACTAATAACCTCTTGAAGATTTTTTCTTTACAAATACAATCCATTTCCCTCTAGTTCCTCAGGAAATACAGTATAACTCCCTTCGTAATCGTTAAATAAGACCTACAACGGGAATTTCAGCTGTGTCAAAATAGAAAACTCTAAGCTTCAGCAATTAAAAAGCTAGCAAGTTGGAAAGTGGTGTACACATTTAGAGCTCGCTACAGGGCTTTCTACAAAACGTGCAGAAACTCATCGATGCTCAAGGGTTTTTGTAAGATTAATGGCAAAACCAAGAAGCTCTTAAAAAGTTTTAATAGTTCTTATGCCAACTAAAACATAATATAAATGATCGTACCTGCTGATGTCGTCCAAAAGTTTAGCGACTTCTGTGCAAAGGGAAATTGCTCCCTTCATCCTGTGCTTTTTCGCCGTTGCGTTCAATACAATTTCCACAGCCTGCCTTACAGTTTCTCTGTTCCCTTTGAAGTGCTGAGCGGCGTTTCCTTTAAAATAAAAAATAATTTCGTAGATGAAGTTTTTCTTAAGTTTTGCGACTCTCAGTCAATATCTCTCTGATTTCCGCCCCCAAGTTTGTATAATTTCGCTCACCTACTAAACTTTGCTCGTCAACTGAGAAAGACATTGCCTCCATTGGAGAATCATTATTCGTCAACTTCGGATTTGAGAGAAGACAATCTGTGCGATGGATCCTCCTAGAATTTCTTCGTGAATAACCACTGCCTCCGCTTTCACTGCTCGTGGAATCAGTCATGTCACCAGCATATGCCATGTACTAGTCGCTTGCCAAATTCAGTACGTGACTTTTCAAAGGCTTGTCATTCGAGTCGTGCATATTCATAACAGGTTTAACACAAAATCCTCACGATATAGCTACAAGAAGTTTTGTCAAAAATCATGTATCATCTATGGAAAAGAAATCAAAGGAACTTATTATTACTCTGGTTATCGTTCCCTGAAGCAAATTGCACGCTGCCCACTTCCGAGTCAGGATTTCTTTTTAACTGGGCGCATTGGGGGCTTTATTTGGAGAACAATACTGTATGAGCCCGCGGTACAAACCGTAATCTACACTCGTCCACTCGTCCTGTAGAAACTCGAAATGGCGGGTAAGTCGTGAAAAAATCCAGATATTTGAAGCTTAAAGCTAAATTTGCCATCAATTTGATTAAAGAACTTGTTGTTAATGAAATTAAGGAGTTTATTCTGGAAAAAAATCGCCAATTTTGGAAATAAATTCAAGCTCAGTTTAATGGTATGGTTGACAACTGTGAACCAAATACTGTCTTCATAGTCTTTGAGAGAATATTGAAATCAATATTTTTATTCAATTTGGCGGCCAATGATTGTTGTATGAATTGAGTGTAGTATATTTTTAATGACTGTCTTCAAAGAAACTAAATCAATACGATGAATATGAATCTTGTACGCGGTTGTAATCACTAAAATAATTTGCTCATAATCTGAACCCGTGTACACTAAAGAGTCATTCACGCTTGAATCAAACATCGTTAGCACCAAATAGAATTAAATGTGGTCGAAGATTTTTTTTAATACCATTACTGAGGCGACAGAGACATAACCAGTTCTGGACGGTTTAAATTCGTCGTGAATAGTACTATGGTAGTCCTAACTGTATCCATTTACAATAGTGAAAGTTTATATATCTATGAGGTTTAAGTGTAAGATGAGCAGCATTTTAACATGGAAACGTGTTTGACATGGTAGAAGAATTAAGCTCTATGCAATGTTGGGTTGAAGGTACCTCTGTAGAAAATTATTGAAGTAAACGTTCCTGAACTAAAGTGATCAATGTTATGTTTCTCCCCCCATTAATATATATCGTGCTATATTGTAAAACTTACTATTAGTTGTGATGGATTCATGGAAAATTTCATTGTTGGTTTAGGTAATTGGAAATGACTATGGATTAAAATCTTGGTAGATAACTTTGCCACGGGTTGACTAGAAAACAGCTGATTCTTAAATTACCTATCAAGTTTCTGAGTAGCTGAAATCATGCAGCATGATTGATCTATTCTACAAATCACATCTGATGTACTTATAATGCTTATAGCAACTAATATAAAAATCAAAGCAGGGCATTGCTTCAGGTGGGTGGTTGATGAGGTTCTGGGAGTATTTCAGGGGTCACAAAACCACAGAAAACTAACGCGTCGGCAATTTGTTGACAAACAATGATAACTACTACTCACCCTAAATTCCACCAAGATACAACCAAAATTTGTCATAATATATTGATCTTGTTTGTGCTTTTGGTTATGCATAAATCAAAGAATTGCAAAATGTTTAGATCATGCTAAAAGCAAGGAACCTCTCTGAAGAAAAAGCACACCAATCTTGCCTTGATATGTATATGGTGATGTAAAAATGATGCTAAGAGGTCCGATTTCAAAAACAATAGGAGATAAAAAACATTGATAAATGTTGCAACCAAGATCAAAAGAGCATGAAATTGTGCAATCAAAGTAGTTGATAATTGGCATATTCAAAAATAGGTCCTCTGGCTTGTATCCATAACAGTGATGGTAGGAATAGAATAAGACTTGAAATGGCAGCTCTAAAATCTGCATCAATTGCAAATGGATACTTTTTGTTATGTATAACGTCTTATTGCACTAATGTCCCAAAGGAAAAGAGGATTTTTGTCTTCCAAGTATATAGGAACATGTAGGAAGCATGTGGTTAGCAATACTGACTTGAGCCATGTAATCTTGTTAAGAAGTTTATGCATTTGTGTATACAGCTATTTGTTATTTTATTTCACTGAATTGAACCTGAAGTAACAAATCTCTAAGACGCCAAGACTGAAATGTATTCTTAATGACTTAGGAATGAAATGTTTTGACAGTTCCTTGGCACAGGTTTATATCATAGTGGTGCATAAAATGCGTGCCGAGTTGAACATTTCAAGACTTAAACAACTTACAGTCATCTAGGTGTGTTATACATGAATAGTAATGGTAATTTAATTCTCAAATTTGATGTATTTATAACATTTGATTTAAGTTTATGTATTACTTTTTATTCCATTTGTTTCTTGGAGTCACAGAATATCAGTAAGGTCATCGCTTTTCTTCGCATGTCTTAACTGGATTGAGTTGCACGATAAACTGTTGGCAAATTGTCGGTGACTATCTGTTACCTCTCCTACCTGCTTATGATTTATGTTTTAAAATTTTTTCCTATATTTGGACTTTTCTGGTTGCCCTTTAACTTCTCACTTAGACCTCTGTAACTAATCCACCAGAAATAGGAGAACATTGATTTAAACAGATTTTGGTAATTACGTCTAATGCATTAAATGGGAGTGACCAGGATCAAATGACACAAATTTTGTAAAAGATGGTAAACACTCTTTAATTGAATGCTTGTTGAGTGATATGATGCAAATTTGGAACATTTTTACTTCTGATCTTGCTATGAAGCTACATTTCAGGAAAAGGGCACTCTTAGGAGGGTTCTTCTTTCCAGTGGAGGAAATTTATTTCATAAAAAAATTATGATCAGGAAAATGTGTTACTAACCAAACTTGTTTCATTTGTAAGATTCAGCTAATTTATCAAAATCAGCCTTGAAGAACAAGAAAAGGGCAGAGAAACGATCAAAAGCTCGAATAGAACAGATTAAAGAAAATGGTGGCATTCTAGAAGAAATGCAAATGAAGGATCCGGTTGATCTTTTGAGAGAACAACTGCAGGAAGCAAAGAACAACAAGGTATAAAATGTGAAGACATTATGATGTACCCAGGGTTGTCAGGCTATGCGTAGGCAAGGGCTCTGGCATCCGTCGTAATTACAAATAGCAGGGGCAATTTTTAGAGTCGATGATGATATGTGCCAGTTGCTAGCTTATTTTGGCAACCCTGTGCAACCATTCTCTTTGGGATATTCTTGGAAATATTTTTGGTACAGACAAAACAAAAATTTGGATCTCAAAATTATCAGTGGCAAAGAAAAGAATTCTTTCTTTGGTTATCACAGCACCAAATGACAAGAGAGCTGATTCCCCATGACTTCTGAAATGTGTTATCTAAGCTGGGTAAAGTTCATGAGTGGGGTTAATTTGGAGGGGCTAGAAGCTAGCAACTGAGTATGTTAATAAAGGCAATAACATGATTTCAAGTGCAATTTGGGTGTTAATAAGCATAGGTAAATTTTCTAAGACTACAAAGTTACACGAGTCCTCAGGGCAAGTGCAATTTGTAGTCTTTGAAGTATTTAGAAATGCTTATTACACCAAATTGCACGAGAAATCATGTTGTTACTTGTTAATAATGTACATCAAAAAGCATGACAAAGTCAAGACAGACATAAATTTTGACAGCATGTACCATTTATAATATGCACTCGTGTTACAACTTTGCACTCATGTTATGCAAGAAAGCACTAGTTTTCAGCCAATCAGAAGTCCATAATTTTTTCGTGTCTATTTTAAGCAAATTGACACTGTTAACTGGACAAAACAAAAATGAAAGTTTAGAGCTATGGTGATAATATTCAATAATTTCCAATCCTTACTTGGCGTAGCGACTCCGTTTCAAACATTTTGTCGTGGATTAGCTAGTGACCCTAAAAGCCTGTCAGGCATTACTGTGTAAACATGAAAGGAATCTAACACAATTCTTTCATGATCCACTTACATAAAATGACCTTCGTGACTAAAAACAAAATCAATAGTGCATAAATGTGTGTCATCTTTTGACTTTTGTTGGAGGTCAAAGGAGAGTTTGTATAGTTCATGCAATTAATTTGATCTCTTGACTTAACCACTACAAGTAAAAAATATCCTAAAGTGGGAGGTTAAGTCTTCTTCCTCTAAAAGTCTTAGAATGGCCATGTGCCTGCTTGGCTAATATTGTGCTTGTCAAATACTGTTCTTGTTGAACTAGCACCTTTTAAAATAAGTGAAAATTGTCTAACCAGAAGCTTACGAAAAATTTACCAAGAAATAAGCCTCTTCCGATTTACTCATGTTTAGTCCAAAATGAAAGGATTTTAATTAGATTCTTAAATAACCTTGGACTGATTGGATGAAGTAGATCTTGCTCTCTTTTAATTAGTTAAAGATGGACTCTGTTGACCATTGTTATCTCACGGAAATTTTTATGGAAACATAGAATGCTTGAACTAATTTGTACCTTGTTACATTCGAAATGTGTTTTTCTTCTATAGCTAGCATCTTTTTTTTTAAGAAAAAATTGATTTCAAGCTTGGATTTGATGTCTTCAGGAAAAGTGAAACCTTCACAGTTATTGAATATGTGATTCCTCAAAACATTTGATGATACTAATGTAGACGTAGAAATTGCGATGATTACTAACTACCACAATTTTTTAAGGTTTTCATTTGTGGTCTAGAAAGTCAAGAATTATAACACATCATACTTCGGATTGGAAGAAAATGGTTCTATAAGCAACTTTCCTTGAATAGAGCAATCTTTAGGTGTGTCCAAAGACCACTTAGTTTGGTTGAAATCTAAGTTAGAAAAACTTGAGTTCTAGAAATCTGTAAAAAGGCAAATACTTGTCTTATGTAATCAGGCTGTTGATTCTGGTCTTATGTAATCAGGCTGTTGATTCCTTACATAGAAAACATCAGAAATCAAGGGAAAAATTGGTCCTTACATGAAACAATCAAACCACCGCCCTGTGTGTATTTCGCCAATTTGTTTGTCAACTGAAATGTATCATGTTTTACTTACATAGGATCATAAACTTGCAGCCAGGTTACGTCAACAGTTGTGGATAGCCCAGGACAGTGCAGCTGGTGTCAGGTGAGATCCGAATGGATACTTAAATGAAGAGTGTTGACTTCATACTGTGAGCATACCTGAAAAACTGCACGCTTACAGATACGCTTTCTACGGGATCACCCGTAGTTGAACCCGATCCTGTCAGATAAGTACTCACGTTACACTTACAATGATTGACGGGTTCATATTTTATTTTTACCTGATTTTGAAAGGAGAAGGCGATATGTGAACACATCTATTTGCCTTGGTGTTTAGCCTGAAACAACCCTTCACCCATACCCTGATAACTGCGATCATAAAATGACAGCTTATGTGGGTAAGGATTATTCAGGGCTAAAAGTGTGCGTTTGTAGTTTGGTTTGTGAAATTTTTATGAAACAATTCTTGTGGAATTCTTCAGACAGATGATACTCGTAGATGAAAGATCTTCAGTTTTTTTGCTTCTATTAATAAAGGAGGACGACCGGGCGTGCTCGCGTGAACAGTTCGCTTTTTTAAATTCCAGATTGATTTGAACTTGGCCTAAAAATGTGATGTAATTATATCCCATCCTCCAGTAAGTTCTTAGTCATTATTAGGTATCACCTCGCATGATGCAGACAGACTTCTCTTCAGAGATTCAATCAAATAATAGCATTTTCCGAAGTATGAAATCTGTAATTGCATTAAGTGGCTGTAGGTTTCGTTTATGTCGAGTACTTTTCGTTTTCTTCCCCTCTACGTGAAGGCATGCGTTGTCTAGAACTTTATTTATAGGCAACCGAGGCTAGTTTTTACATCTCAGCTGGAGGTATCAATCTATCTTTAGTCACGAACAAGTCTAGCCATTCACTACACGAAAAAACGGGAAAAAGACAGAAGTAGTGGCACAGGAATATCGATATTTCCTTCCAATTTTTTTATCTACTTTAGTAAGTTATGCCTGCCCCTTCACTGTCCAACAAGTATAAAGCGATTGAAAACAGTTCATTCTGCCATGGCTTGACAGTGAAAGAACAAATAAACAAAGTAAGCGGCATTCAGATGATTCGTGTCTGATATAACGTTGAACTATTATTGTTTCAAGTATTGAGTATATCCGGCTTCCAACATGCAACCATTTGCGCTTCTACCCGAGCTAACTTCATGTCTACTTTGTTGTTTTCTATGTTGCCTTGTCGTTATCGTTTTGCTTCTCTATTTGCGCATTACGTGTTCTGGTTAAGTGTTTTTTATTTCAGCAGATGTTATCATTATTTGATCTTTTACTAGGCAGATGATTCTCGCAATTCAATCGGTCAAAGTTCAAAGTTAATGCTTGTCTCTGCAGCGTGTGAACAAAAGCGAGCAGTGTTGGATTTTGGTAGATAATCTATGTCCCTTTTGTGTTTCATTCACTCTTCATCAATCTAAAGGTTTTGAATTTTAAAAAACTTCATGGTTTCTACTTTTTCGTTCGACCTAATGTCATCGTTTACATGATCAGCGTGCCTAAAAAGGTTATCTCAGCTTCTGATATCATGCCCTACCTAGAGTAATAAGTTTATCTTTAGAAAAATCGCTCTAAACGAGATATAAAAAACACCCTGCTGTTTAAAATTCTGCTCACGGTTTTCTGAGATTCCCTTCAGCATGCAACTTTCCTCAAAGATTTCAGTGGCTTTATTTTTCAACCGCCGCGTGATGTAAAGTTTTCTTTTGCCTGATAATTGGTTTGATTGACATAAACACGTGGTTCGAATCTTTAGGAATCAGGAATGTGCCTTGTTCAGCAAAATGGACTGACACGTCCGTTGTGGAATAGTTTTAAAATGCTGATCAAATCTTGTCTTTTTTCAGACAGAATGCGTCGGACATGAGAACTAAACACACGAGCATTAGAGGGATTTTTAAGTTTTACGAAAGCTTAACCTCTCAAAGCCATTTAAGGAATGCCCCTGTCTTTTTTGACATGTGGTTCATTAGTTGTCCAAGTTCTGTGTACGTGACCGGCCCGACCACAGACTTGGAGAGAAAGTACTATTTTTTTTGGGCGCGGGTAAGGGGTTGTTTGGGCCGGGTGTCTGCCTTCATCTAAATGGCATGCATTGGCTTATAATTTTCATGATTTTTCTCCTTGTTTTAAACAACACGATGAATTTCAATCCCTGTTTGATTGTTTGATTTGCTTTAAATGATATAAAAGAAGATGGCATTTTCTCTGATGCACAATACAAAATTACGTGTTGTACAAGTAAATATTCGGGACCTTAAGCAAACCACGAAGGCGGCGGCAACGAGGTCGTGGCAAAACAAGAGGTCTAAAGAACATAACAATAGCACAGCACGTGCGTTTTCAAACTTTGTACATTTCTTAGCCTTCTTCAGCAAAACAACAACTTGAATTCACAAGAATTTGCGTAGCCCGACTGCAAGTTGTTATGTAAGTTTCCATTTGCTATCGTAACTTATGCTGAAACTGAGCTGTGGCGAAGTAAGAGACGATAAACACATTCAACCATTCGCGAAATTCAAACTTTAGTTACAAATTTATTTTTGAACCGACGTCTCCCTCAGCGTTACCGTCCAGACTGCCTTAGTGTAACACAACATCGTGTTTATCCCTCTTGTTATTTAGGTATTTTAGATATTACAATTTATCAGATCACACAGATTTTGTTGTCTTGGTTCGTCGGCACCAGATTCACCACCGATCTATCGTAAGTTTGATACAACTTTACACTCGTGGAATTTTCAATGCTCTTTACTTCGAATAAACTCTTTTAAAGAGAATTTTTTGTGGAGAGAGCTCCTTTGTATTTTAGCGCCTGGGAAGGTTATTCACATAATTTTAAAATGGTTGATAAGTCTGAAAATAACGTTTAGTAATAAGCAACAGCCAACAACGATGGGTAAATATTTCTGTTAGTAATATGGGCACAACTTACTCCCTAAACAAATATTGCACAAATCAGAAATAGAAAGGCCAAAATTTCGCATCAGCAGCCCGTCTTTACACTGTACCATAAATATTTCTTAGAGTTATTAGTTATTCTCGAATCAATGTGGTAGCATTTTCATGACGATTTCTGAAGCAAGCTAATGAGGAAAATTTAGAAAATAACCTTAAACCTGGGGCAAGGAACATGACATCTGAGAAATATGAGTGATGTGGGGCGAGCTAAAATTGAAATGATGAGAGGTCAAAAAAAAATGTGGAACTTACCTGTGTGTAGCTCATGTAGTTCTGAGCACGTTTTCGTTCAAGAGTTGTTTTGTACGAGACTCTTGTCACAAGAAAATACGCTGATCCGGATTTTTGTCGTCACAAATGACGAAGTCATCAAATTCCGTTCATACGTAAGTCTTCACTCATGGGTGATACCCCTCACAAGGGGTCGGGTGGAGAAGGGAGGTGCCTCTTTGAAATTGAACAGGACATTTATTGATCAACTAGGCAACAAGACGCGAGGTAGTTGTTTCGCACTGGTGAGATATTTGTGCCGATTACATTTGTTTTGAAACTTTTTGTTAGAGACCGAAACCAGGTCTAAAACACCACAATAAATCGTTCAGTTGTCTGTACTAATGATTGTTAGAGTTACAGAGTTATGTTTCACATCAGTGATTCTTTTAGACTGAGCACGTGCGCAGTCTCAAGATGATTTGTGATTTCGTTCACGTGACGTATATTGCATCGCGTGTCGAAGGGTTGGAAATTTGCAACCCTGCTGCACGCAATGAAATCATCAGGAAATTAACCAAACCACGATATCGACAGGGATGCAATACAGTAAACAAGTGGCTGATGAAACACATTTCCAAGCTATGTTTTCAAGGAAATTAAAAAAAAAGGCGGCCTGTGTCTTGTAGATTCACCTATGTACAGATTGATACGATTTACGGTGGTTTCGCCCCATTGCAAGTTATCTCTTACCATCTTTGGGAGATTCCCCCATAACGTAAAACAAGTTCGCCCTCTCTTAAACAGTTGGCCCCAAAATCTTTCGACTCGTTTTCTTACCAGAGAACGTATTCATTTCCTGTTGAAATCGTGACATGTTTCGACCAACATGACATGACATGACATGTTTTGACCGACATTTCACTTCACAGCGAAACCAGAGCAAAGTTCGATCAACATGCAAATTCCTAACCGTGTTAACTGACGCATGATAAGAAACGAGTTGAATGATTTGGGAGCAAACCCGTTTGACGTTGGGGGATAACTAGCCAGGGTGGTTCGGAGAGAACTTGTTATGGGGCGAAACATATAGTTATCATTGACACTAGTTCGATAAATATGTGGCGAAAGGTTGTGATTGCCTTTAAGTCCAACCTTCTTTTTCGCTTTTTGTGTTTCTATGTTTCAGCATGAAGGAGTTTGAGATGCTAGGAGCTGATACTTCAACGTGCTTTGAAACAAAATTTGTCCAAGAAACAAAATCGGTTTCTGAATCACCGCCTTCAGTCTTAGAAGCCAGCGGTCTTACCCCCACAGAGAAAAGACTACGAACTCTGAAGAAAAAACTGCAGCAAATCGAATCAATAAAAGAAAAAAGAGAAAAGGGAGAGGTTTTGGAGACAACACAGGTTAGTTGTTCGTCGCCAGTTCACCAAATGTTTCTATACAAAGTGGATTATGGTGAAACTAATTTCAGATTATATACCAGTGATTATTAATTGCCTGAAGGGGGGGGGGGGGGGGGGAAGAGTGGAATGAGGGAAGGGAGGGAGGGGGAAAGAGGAAGATTTTGGGGGATCACATGACATTCAGGGCTGAACGGAGAGGGGATCAGTAGTCGCCAACAGAGTGTAAAAGGAGAAATATAGAAAATTGACTGCCAATGACGGGGAGACCATAAAAATATTACAGAGCCTTACGGTGGATCAGGCGAGCGACAAATAACCAGCATTTCCTTTGTGAGTTTGTTGGAGTCAGTTGTATTTTAAGAACTCCTTGCGGCCGCCCTCTTTTATGGCGTACTTTTCACGTCTGTTTTAAACACGATTTCCATTACTGTTTCATTTTTTGTTTACAGCTCGACAAGATCGCAAAAGAACAAGAAATTCTTGACGAACTCAGAGAAATTGATTCGCTTTTGACAGGTAGCTAGTGAAACTCGCATAGTTATTCATAGACTTTGAATAAATATTTTATTGATTATAAATTGAATAATTCTATCAAATCGTACTCTTGACTCGTGGCTAATATTGCGGTTGAAATAAGAAGCTGGGAAGCTCTGTTTTTGCTACGTTTTTTCGACTGGCGTGTTATGCATGAACTGAGAATTTTTTTACTGATCATCACTTGAGGCCTTTTTACCCAACTACTCATCGAGAGATTTTTTTCGTGAGGGGAGGGGGGGAGAAGTGGTCTACTTGAGATAAGTTTTTTTCAATGGGGAAGTGGGTGTGGGGGCAGTTGTGGCGTTGCACGAGGTAATTGTACTAAACCGTTACTTAACCTCACTCGTGCATCAAGTAAGGCTTAAAACTAAGGGAAAGTGACGATAAAATCGACACACAATGAAGCAGAAAAACAAACAGATCTCACATGTCCTCTGTAAAGTTTTTTAAATGTCTCCTCATTTTTTCGGTTTAATCAAATAAAATGTGGTGATCGATTGTTTTTTCCGTCTGGTTGTTAAAAGCTACTCGAGTTTAATACTGTTTACGTGTAACCAACACTACAAATAGAACGTAAGTAGATTAGTAGAAGAGGTAGTACTTTGAAAAGCGGTATCAGTCTCAATGTTTGTCTATTGCCTCTTTGTTGTCGCGTATGATTGTGGAAGATGCACAGAAGCTTTGATTGTCTGCTTGCCTGTAAAGTATCTTACAGTGAAGGAAACGGCAATTATTTTGCAACCAATCAATTGTACGACAGTAAGTTTGGCTTTCATAAGTGAATATAACATTGTACAGAATTGTTGAAGTACATTGTCAAGATTTTTTTATCGTAAAGCTCTTCTGATCTTTCTGGCATTTAAAAATGTAAAGTCCTTATCAAACTTAACATAGCCTTTCTGGTTAGTGGAGACAGAAACATGAAAAATAAAATCGTGGTTTGTCTTTTTCCTTAATTCTGTTAGCTACGAGCCTTACTTTGTGGCGCAAATTTTATATCTATTTACTTTTCATCGCAGACTCATGAGGTCCTGCCTCTTGCTGGAGTTAAGAGGTCAACGTTTTGTTACAGGGAAACATTCATAAATACATATTACGGTATAGTTTGAAATATAACACGCACGAATATTTTGCTATTTTAAGATAGGGACGATGGACAAAATGTCCGCGCATGCTTGATGTTAAACCATTTTGGCTTCTAGTTTTCGATACACATTTTGCATGAGGTGCATGAAAAAGATGAAAGAAACATAATCCAAACTATTTAATTGTCCGTCATGATGAAACAAATATGTTTCAGGAAGAGTTCGGCGCTTAATGAGTTAGTCAGTCGGCGTCTAAAGGATCTAAGCAAGTCAAATTTTTTAATCGTTTCCTTTGAGTTTGGGCATTCTGTTTCTTTGCTTACCTTCCGTGTTTTTTCCCTGTTCGGTAGTGTATCATCGGCTTATACTTTGCGTGTTCTCCTGTCCTAATATGGAAAAATGGCGCATTAGTGGAATAATAATATGAAAATAATGTATTACTCATAAAGACGCAGTTGTCTTGTTCTTTTATCTCGTTATCTATCAGCCTCGCATTGTGTCCACAACAATCAGGTGCAGTGAAGAGTCGAGAAGCGCCTTTTGCTGGGAAAATTCCCTGCGCGTACAGTTAATAGTCGGCTCCTTCACTCGCGAAATGAAATATACTTATTAGTCAATATTTCATCACAAATTCGTATTGCCAATCGATTAATACGCTCGCGAATGAATTTCGAACGAGTTCTATCTCTCCGTTTGACTTGTTTTTGTATCTCAGCAAATGTTCTAACGTAGCTGAAGACGAGATTAGCATGACTGACAGAGGAACTGAAAGAAAGCTTTGGTTTGATAGCGTGCCATATACACAACGGATATATGATATGTACATAGTTATGACTCGATACTTGAACATACTAATATACTTTAAATTCTGTTTGTAAGAAATCTGCTTGTTCACCCGGAAAAGTGGCCAAAACTGATTTGGCACGGCCACCTGCACTAGTCTGCCAGGTGAAATCAGTCAGTCAGTGTGGGAGTGTTTTGATGATCTGGGTTTAGACAAAAACTGCGATGATACAGCACTCAAATGCGTTTCGCTGACAAGACTCAGACATTCGATAAGACTTGAGCTCGGTCTACTATCCTCTGGCTCTTGAGCGGCGAGTCCTTCGAGCCCGCAAAAAAATTCACGTTATCAACCTGTGCAAAAAAAAAAAAAAAGAGTGGAGCGGAGTGGGCACCTACCACTGAACTTCGCTTAGGAGAAGACTGACGAAAGAAGGGTTCACCTCTCTGTGGAAATGCTGGTTTGAAGTCATGTGATCTAAGGTTTCTTTTTGTGAATGATTTTGATGTGGTATTTTCAAGAGTCGGTGTAAACTATTGGGTAACCTATGACTAACAAAATCCGCAAAGGATAGGTAAGTATTTCTTAACATCACCTTTATTTGAGAGGGTCAAAGGAAAGGGAAAAAAAACAAAAAGATCAATTGGATAATGTTACATGCTCGCCGATCGCAAAGGTCGCCAGGCAATTTTAGGTCTTGACATGGGAATACCGTGTTAAATGTAAGGAAAAGGTTGGGCTCTGGCACCTGCGTGTCAAGAGGTTCACCAATTACAAGAGTCAGCCACTTAAGGCAAATGTGTCACTACACTTGATCTTCTGAGAAATTGGGAGAGAGGAACAGTTCTCTGCTCTCAAAGAAGGTGTATGATGCAAGCAAGTCCGAGAAAATCACCGTAAAATCGAGAGTGCGGAACAGGATGCTCTCTTTGAATCATTTCTGCTAGATATGAAAAGAAGCAAACAAACAAAGGATATTTTGCTGAGCCTAAATGGAAAAGACTGAATGGGGAATACACATTACGACTGAGCAATGACAGATACACCGCAATTATTGATCATTTTCATCGGGGTTGATCCCAACCGGCATGAACAATACAGGCAATCATATTACCTAATCTAACCAAGACTAATCCGGAAGGGCGTTTTTCAATGAACTCGTAAGATGATTAATTTTCACCCGAAAAAAGGGATTCAGTCCGAAATATTTAAAAAGGAGGTGGAGTAACAAGCTTAACGGTTAAACTGTACGGGCCAAAATACGTAAGTGAAACCTGTCTCGCGTGACTCTTTGTCAGTTTTTAAAATAGCACGAGAACATTCCATCTCCTTGAACAGGCTGCGGATGATTTGTCCCCTACAGGATATGTCATGAAGGAGTAAGTGTTCTCTCTCAACATCTCAGACCATATCAGCATCTGGCTGGCCTCCATCGGGACAACACTGCATGCACGTGTAGGCCTTTTGTCAACACATGGAAGGTTGAAGCACGTTATTAACAGCTATTGAGCAACTCGCTTATCTTTCCAGTGTTGACGTTGTTTGAAAAGCTGTTCAAACTTTCTAATGTTGCCTAAGGTAGTAAGGCAGTTCAAGCGGAATATCGTCAACCCTTTAACCCTTGAGGGTGACTAGCATCTAATTTCTCCCAACAGTATAACCCTTGCATCACACAGTAAAGTCATGAGAATATAGGAAATGATCCCCAACCAAATATTCTCTTAATTGATGAACAAATTCTCATTGTCAGCACCTTAGGAAATGAATAGAAAACAGTATGGAGAGTGTGCATTCTGATGTTGGGGTGTAAAGGGTTAATTATCCGATTACTTCGACGTCTCTTGAGTATCTAACAAGTTGTAAATCTTTGTATTGTTTGTTTGCGGTAAGTAACACCAGCATTCGATGAGCCAGCGGGGGTATTATAAGTGAAGTGTTTTTCTGTTGACAGAACGCGAAATGTGGAGTCTGAGTTCTGCTCAGTCTCCTCGGTGCGCGAATATCACGTGAGTTCGTGCGGCAAAAGAAGAAAGAAAATGTTTTTTTTCCAAACCATCTCACCTTGAGATTCCATGCAACACAAGTTAACCACATGAGTTCAGAAGAAGACTGGAGACGAGTGACGTTAAGTTTTTGTAACTAACGCTAACACCTTAATAAAAAGTACTTGTTTCCAGACTGCCCGTGAAGGAACATGGACACAAATACGTGATAAGCCTTTTAAAAAAAATAATAAATAAAAAAATCAAAGTGCTCTGTGAGCAAACTCGTGAATTGACACATGATTTTTTGGATTATGTTTAATGTTATCTGGTTTAGGGAATTTGTGGTTGATTGTCATATCTAGAGTACGAGCAGTAGTTCAGTGTTCGCTAATGTAGCAAAGAAACAAAGTAACGTCGGGATAAGAAGGCATTACAATAAAAATGATCATGCTATTGCATTTGACAAGGGTGGATGATGTCATGTGTTTTAAACGTATATCATTTCTGTTTCTGGTTCAAAAGAAAAGGTTGGAAGTAAATGTGGGTGAAAAGTGATATTTACTGTCTATCATTGTGAATATTAGAAAATCAAGGCAATACTTTCTTAATGAAAACATTAACGATTCCCTCTTTATCAAATGAGACAAACGGGAACGAGTTTTGAGTGATATAACTAAGCCAAGACTGCCACCGTCATTTTGGATCTCCGCCTGGGTAGATTTTAGTCACGTGCTAGGCAACGTATAATCAATAACAAGATAGAATTTCATTTCAGGCCTATTTATCAATTTTGTGGTGTATAACTTTCGCATTTTAGTACGTAATATGTATTTTGAATCTTCAAATTGTCTTGAAACTTAAAAGAAAATTGTTCTTTAAAAATTCACTGAAAATCGGTAGCTAAAATTGTTTGTTTAGGTGTTATTTGATTTTCGTGTTAACTTGTAATTTCGTTAGTCGCCGGCATCTGCTATTGTTTCTCACAGGAAAAACACACGATACAAACGTAATGATCGATTCTGTCCTCAATCTCACGCCGTAACAGAAAAAGCTTTTGAACATCTGTAAACTCCGAGCGCTTCGCAGTAAGTGATATTTTCAATGAATCTTCGGATTGTTTTCAAGTTCAAGGATTGTAAATTACAATTTTATGAAAAACGAAGGTTTTTCTGTTATTTCAGTGTGAATCCTTGCATGCCTGCCAGTCGCTGGCGCCGCTTGTTGAAACTAAAACGAAAAAAAAAAAAATTATTTTAAGATTATTATTGGCTTCTTTGTCACCCCACCACTATTCTTAGCAACAAAGGTCGCCATTTCGTTTGTTTATTGCTCGCCAAAAACTATCAAATGCACTCAAAAGCCTAAAATCGAAAAAAAGGTTTCCAGGAATCGACCAATCGAGCGAGCGAGCAAGTGCCATTCCCCACATCGTATCTACAACTCGCTCTTGCGCATGCGCGCAATTCACGAGTTAAAAAAAGAGGAAATTAAAAAATTGTACAAACTGATTTTTTATTTTCGTGAATATGTTTGCGACACTGGTCTTTCAAATGTCAGACGTTTTGGTGTTCTAAATCGAACTTCCAAGCTAATCAGTGTACATAAACAAGAATTATAATCCAGAAAATATTTTCGTTCGCGCGCGAGTGATATAAATGCGTCACGCGATTGAATATGCTCCAGCAAACACAGGAAAATACACCTCAAGTGATATTCGTCAGCATTAGAGCATTGAATCAATTGCGATGAAGGTGATCCCTGTTTAAGTCAATTATGGTTGAGGGAGAGTTTCGTGCGCTGTGAAAAAATACTCAAAGGGAAACAAACACAATAGCCTCCATTTGGCTTCAAAATATGCTAGAACATTTGTCCTTGGACACACTCTATTCCTCGCAACTCGCAATTTTCTTCGAGCTTTGTTCTCGCGAAATTTTTCGCAGAGAGTTCCACGGACGAATTCCGAGAACGTTTCCGCACCAAATGAAGGTTATTGTTTATATATGCATCAATGTAACGGGCCAATCGAATGCCGCCGAGACACATAAATGGAGGTCACGGGTTACAAAATTCCTGTCCAGTGAATTGTAACTTACACCTACCCTTCAAATGATTCTAAAGGCAGATATAAATACAGACCAGTGGTGAGGTACTTCTATGGATACATACTGAACGAACGGCAAGTGCTATGTCTGGTTAAATAAGTGTTCAGTAACTTTAAAAAACAAAACCATCGAACAAAATAAGCCAAGCTAAGAAGTAGCTATATGTCCCCTGGGTTTGCCTCCGAGCAAACAGGTTTCGTCAGCTCTCGTGTTTTCTTTTGTTATACCACGGGTCTAAAAAACAATGAAAACATAGAAATAAAAACGGTATCAATAGAGATAACGATTAATCTTCTCGCCAAGCTCAGCACTCTCTTCGCGTTTTCGCACCACAAATTAGTTGATTCATCACCAACCTGTCTCTTCACATTGTCGACCAGTGAATCCAAAAATACATGCGCAGACACCTGGGCGAACGCACTGGCCCTCGTTCAAACATGGCTGATTACAAATAGCTGCCAATTTGAGAGATAAAAACGTCAGACCTGTAGCTAGCTCAAACTAACTAAAGTGAGACTGGTTATCAGTTATTGTGTACCTTTTTCACACTGGACGCCAGTGTATCCAGAAGGACAGGTACAATGGTTCGGACGAGCACACCTGTGGAAAAGAATCTGTTAAACATATCTACGAGTTTTGTTCAGCGCAATAAAATTGCATGGTACTCACTCCGTGGCTTGTGTTCACGTGCTAGGCATTTTAGAGGAACAGACATTAATTTTGTAAGGTATGCCGCTGCCTTCATGGCAATAAGTAATCAGTTATAAAGTTGTCGATATGTTTTTCAGCCCCTGGAAGTAACACAGCAGTCAAATGTCTGCGCATGTACGAACGTTGTAATGACTAAATGGTGTGATTTCAAGCCGTCAGAGCGAAGTAGTCTCACAAAACAATCACACAAGCCACTAAGTGAGTAAGTGTCTTACTTGCGCATAACTTTTTCGGTGGAGCTCAATACTGAATGGTGAAACAGGAGTATACCTATACTTGAATAAGCTATGTGCTCGAAAAGTCTAGAGTTTTCCTCTTCCCTATTTTTGTTTCCTTTAACAGATTTTTCACAACGTTTAAATTTTCTTTCGCTTATTTTGCGAGACAGCAATAGTTTCACATTTTTCCTGAGAAATTTTGCGCGGGAGATTGGCGTGTGGGCGTCCAAAATTGAATCTCTTGCGCGTGCCCTACGTTTGACCGGTGTGTTCCTGGAAGTGCGCATTGCGGATTTTTTTGGATAGGAATACATACTTTCCTCCATTCAGACAAGGGAGATGGCATACTGGCATCTGGCAGCGATTTCCTTTCCAGGCAGCAGGACACATGCAGACATTTGGTCGAACACAGTCTCCGCCATTAATACACGGAGGTCTACACAGAGGGTATTGGCATTGTTCGCCCATATATTCCGCTGGACATTTACAGACATCACGGGCAACACACAAGCCCCCATTTTGACAACTAGGAGTACAAGGGGCTGTGCAAGTAAAACGATAAATACAGGAAATGAAATAAGTTAATAATTGACGAATGGAACGTCTCATTTTTTTCCTTTGATAAAAAACAATTTTCATATAAACTACGGTGTTATACAAGGATTTCCAGCCCTGAGAAAAGCCGTAAGAAGAGAGGTGGGAAAATACGATATTTTTCGTGTCTTTGATATCACCAATCAGCTGCTGACACGTCACTCACCCTTCGTGCCACTCGATCAGGTTGATGAATGAACGGTAAAGTCTTCACCATTCCCAATCCAAGGTTGTTTGTCGAAATTTTCTCGGATCATGGCTGCTAAAACACCGAAAACCCTGTATTGCTTACAGACAGTTATGTTTAAACTTTTCTAAAAGGGGAAGAAAAAAGAATGCGAAAAGAAAAATCGAAAGTTACGAATTCAGTGGCTTTGGTAATGCCATCTCTCGCCGCTAAAAACGAAAATCGACTCCTGGAAGATTAGCCACTGGCCGAATTTGACCGTGTACCTGAAAGTACAAAGTTAATAACAGGGAATATTGTATATTGAAAATTACGCCCATTGTTGTTTCAGTAATGATTTTGTAAAATTAATGAAAACTTATGTAGGGATTCCCTTTGAGAAACTACGAACTTGTAGTTGTGCTTCTTTTACAGAGAAAAACAATTTTACCAATTTCACATCTTTGTCCCGAGTATCCCAGCATGCACTGGCATACATAGGGTCCACGACACCGTCCACCGTTCAAACACGTAACCAGGCAGCTTTTTTTCTCGCATCGCGGGCCTGTAAATCCATGTGGACAGCGGCACTTTCCCGGGCCGATACAATTTCCGTCATTCCTGCAAGGGGGCCGACATACAGGCGACAAGCAGGCGGGTCCCTCAAAACCCTCTGCGCAAACGCATAAGTTTGGCATAATGCAGGTACCGCCATTATAACAACCAGCTCGACAAAATGGTGTTTGGCAGCCAACGCCTTGGTAACCTCTCGGACACCTGGAAAAATTAAATCATCGACGTTGGGTGATAAGGAGTACACCGCTGATTCACGTGAACCGAATTTACGATCACCTCGGTTAAAGCCCAATTGTGTTTGACAATGCATTATGACAAAATATTTTTGGAAGAGCAAGTTCCGTTAGGGAACGAATTTCCATATTTCATAGTTTTGGAACAAGTCACCAAATTCATTAACGGTCAAAGTCGTTTCCGCAACTTGTTGCACAGTTTTACCAGCTCATAGCTAAATTACCTTACCTGCAACCAAAATGTCCAATGCACTCCATTCCATAAGGGCAGGGAACAGGGCACAAAGAAGTGCACGTGATTCCATTTCCCTTGTAGCCTGTAGGACAAGGACCACAACGAAACCCCTTAGGGGAGCCCTTCTCCTGGATGCACTGAGCCAGGCGATGGCATGGATTAGATGAGCAGGCATCTATCTCTGGCAGAAAAAAAATAATATGCTTATGTATCCCAGAGTTCCTTTCAAACTGCGCTGGGTATCGCACGTTTGTCCATTTGCAAAACATCTCTGTAAGACGGTTTTCAAATGAATGACAAGTGTTATCGTTCTCGCAAGAGCACAATTTTCACATTAGTTTTTTTTAAGTAAAGATTTCCTCTACAAACCCTAAGTGTCTTACCGCGTTTGGTATTTTAAATCAGAATCTAAACATTTGAGTAACAAACATACCAGTACAAAGAACACCATTTCCTGTAAACCCACGCGGGCAATTTCCACATTCGTAACTCTGACCTCTTTGGACACACGGTACGTCTCTAAAGCAGTTTAGCTTTTTGCAAGGGTGGGTCATCTTCTCACAACGTAAACCATCGCCATTGAAACCAGCAGGGCACGAGCCACAACTGTAGTTCCCGGGATAATTTGTGCACTGGACACCAGCAAAACAGGGAGCCTCTAAGCACTCGTTGATGTCTGTCTCGCAGTATTTCCCACGAAATCCCAGCAGGCATTGACATGAATATTGAACACCATGCGCTATACACTTCCCATGCTTACAGTTGTTATCGGAACAAGGGTTCATCTTCACTTGGCAAAGTTCACCAGTGTATCCCTTGTTACAGGTACATTTGACGGATTGGTTCGCGAGTGAACATCGGCCGTGTTTACAAGGACTTAATTGACACGGATCAATCTTATTCTCACAATAACGACCTGTGTAGTTCTCTGGGCACACACAAGTGAACGAATTGCCTGTAGGAAAACAATTACCACGTTTACAGGGTCGAGATTGGCAGGTTTCAATTTTATCGCAGAGACGTCCACGGTAACCAGGATAGCATCTGCACCGAAAAGACATCCCCAAGTTAATGCATGCGCCATGTTTACATGGCTGTGACTGACACATGTTGATTTTCTTATCGCACTTTTTACCTGTGTAGCCCAGTTCGCATCGACACGAAAACCACGAAGAGTATCTATGCAAACACGTTCCGTGTTTACAAGGGTTTGGCTTACATGGGTTCACCTTTTGGTGACAGAACTTTCCAGAATAGCTTCGTTTACAATAACATTGAAACGTTTTCCCTCTGTCGACACAAATTCCGTGCTTACACGGATTCAAACTACAGTTAGTAATCTTAGTTTGACAAACGTTTCCGGTGTATCCTTCGAAACAAGAACATTTGAATGATGTCCCGTTTTGATGACAACTTCCATTTTTACATGGATTTGGCCGACACATCTCTACTGCTTGATCACATAACTTTCCTTTGTAACCCTGGTGACACAAACACTCAAAAGACGCATTGCTGGAAATACACGAACCATTTACACATGGCCCAGTAAGGCAGTGATTGATCTTCGTATCACAGAGAACGCCTTGATATCCATCAAAGCATGTACAACGAAAACCACTTTCATTTGCTGTTTTGCATAATCCGTGTCTGCAAGGATTGGTAGTGCACGGATCGATAACTGATTGACAGTATTGCCCAATAAAACCTTCACGACACAAGCAATAAAATGACGGAACACTCCTTTTCAGCGCTTGGACACCAACACATTTTCCATTATCGCAAGGATTCTTATCACATGGGTCGAAGACGATCTTTTCATCACAGAGGGTTCCGCCAAAGCCATAATGACAGTCGCATTTAAAAGAACCTTTCACGATGATACAATTTCCGTTAAGACAAGGATTAGGCTGGCATACATCAACAGAGGCATTGCAAGTGTCGCCACTGAAACCTGGTGGACACTTGCATAAATATGTGCCCTGATCATCGACACACTGTCCATGGTTGCAAGGATTGCTTAGGCAGTGGTCTGCGGTCTCGTTGCAGAATCTTCCTTTGTAACCTTGGTGACACAGACAGTGATACCCATCTGATTTTCTTGAGCAATTCCCGTTGACGCAGAGATTTGGAACACATGGATCACTAATGTGGCAACGTTTTCCACACGAATTGTTCAAACATGAAGTGGAATTATGATCGTCATGGAGAGATGGTGGATCAAAACAGGAACCTATCTTAATATCACAGAGAGAGCCAGTGTATCCCGAGTTGCACACACATTTGGTTTGCCCTTCTTTATCAACACAAGAACCGTTTTTACAGGACATCAAAGCACAGCCTCCTAGCTGTGGTAACTCGCATAATTTTCCTGTGAATCCCTCCTCGCACATGCAAACATGGTTACCACTTCGAGTAACGCATTTTCCGTGACTGCACAAGCAACTCTGAATACTTGTTGCACAATATGGTCCGGTGAAACCTTCGTCACAGAAGCAACTAAAGTGTGTGCCATTAGTGATGCAACTTCCGTTGTTGCAGGGATTTGAATAACAAGGGTTGACTGGCACGGAGCATTGAACACCAGCGTATCCCGGAGGACATTGACATCGAAACGACCTTCCAAGTTGAACGCAGATTCCAGTTCCACAAGGGTTAAAAATGCAAGGATCTTCAGGAATATCACAATTTTCACCAGTAAATCCCTCATCGCAGAAACAGAAATATCTCCCCATGGTTGTATCTAAGCAAACTCCATGCGCACAAGAAGAGGCATTGCACTTGCCATGTTGACATGCTATGTCGGTCCATACCTGCTGGCTATTTATCGGCGAACACCACTTGCAAGGATCATAAGGACTAGATTCACCTTTTGTGTAACAACGTCCATCAATATGGCATGTTTCACTCTAAATATAAAATCAAGAAACAATTTACGTTACTCTCACAGCTTCTTTCCTGTGTTTATTTCAATCACTAGTTGTATCTGAGTTAGATATTTTTATTGCTGGTTTTGACTTGCCTTTTGTATTAAGGTTCGTAACATGCCACGGCATTCAAAATCTATAGTTTCTCTCGTTATTAACTGCGGCTATTAAGTGGTACTCAACTTAAATCTAAACAAAAGTTCCCTAAACAGAGACAAAGACTTGATTTTTTCGAATATGAAGTTTTCCGAAGTCGCCGTAGATGTCTGAAGAAACTCACTTTTAAGAGAAAAAATGTTGTTTATACTTACCAACCTTAATTTCACAGCCCATGTTCCGAGTGGTACATTTAAGACAACCTCCATCAAAGATAAAGAGGGGAACGGGTTGGCTCCATAACCTATCATCATTACTCACACGTACTTGGTAACTTGTAAATGCCTTGTCTGTGTCATGTGACCTTGGCATTTCGCAGGTGACACCACGGAAGCTCTCATATGTGGCCTTGGACAGGAAGGTCTGAGTTTCAAATGCGGCATCCTTGATAACACGAGAGGAAATGAGAAAAGAAAGAGGGGCTACATCACTTAAGTACAGGTGCAATATATGAATACAGCTTCTCACCGGTTATCTAGTTAATGCTGGTACATTTATAAGCGATCCTAAATCAATACTAACTTCAGGTTATGCTGGAATGATTGTGGCTTATTAGAAGCATATATTTACCTTGACTTCTAGGAAGGAGCACATCAGTTCTCTTGAGTTGTGAAAACCTTCACCAACCAGCCTGACTTGCTTGCAGTGAAACGCCTTTATATCACATGTTCCACCATTGTGTACACCGATGAGTTGAGGTGGACTTCGGGAAGGAACAGAGCAATCATCACTTGTGTAACCTAATAAAGGAAAACGTCGGGGTGAACATAACACCAACAATATATAACAGTGTTGATCTCTTGCGATTATTTTAACTCTTAATTAACGTAGTAACTTTCCGTTATGCCAGATAACATATCGGGCATCAACGGAGATTCTCCCTTTAGGTGTCAAGTGAAGTACCACGCGCGAGAGGCTGTTCCTTCCACAGGACATGTCTGATCCATGTCCACCGCCTCCTGAGGAATGGTTCCCATATGTTCCTGTTGTCACTGAGCAAGAAATTAGTCGTTGGAGATACCGTTACTTAATTAACGTGGAAACATCTAAGGATTCTTAAAACACTGGAATACCTCGCCGACATTTACAAGCTCCATTGATACACCTTCCTCGATCACTACACAGTCGCGGGCACATGACGTTTTTTATCCTTTTGGGGGGTGTCAGCCCTTCAGCTAAGAAAGAACTCTCCCACAGAGAGGTGTCTTTAAGAAGTGTTTCTTCACACGTGTCTTGTAACATTGAAGCTACTCCCCAGGCCATTCCTGTCACACCTGTGAACTAAAACCATACTAGCGTAAGAAGATTAGAAGCGTCAAACAAGCTTTTATTTACAACTCACACTTTAATGGACACAAGTAGAAGCATTAGTTGAAAAATAAAGAGATTGAGAAGGGTCAGGAAAACATGAAGGAAAGCACATGCAGATAGGAGTGTATACAAACACATCAACATACAAAGCAGACACAGTCACTAGCAAAGAAAAAAAAAGACAATGGCAGTACCCTAGTGTCTCTTATGCAAATCCTCTGTAGTTGATCGACAATTCGCTGACCAACTAAATGAATACAAGCTTTTCCCAGCGGGGTGTCAGTCAGCAGCCTCTTGCAGTAGCTAACCACAGCCAAGACAGCTAAAAAGGTGTCAGGTTTTCCTTCATCTGACAAGTTCAACTGGTTTGTCAGATGGTATCGAAGATAGTGATCGCCCTTTGACTGGTTGCTTCTACGCTCAAGAACGCGGCCAGTTTGTAGCGCGAGAACTCGTTTGGTGATGTCTCTTTCACGGAAAAGTACTGGCCATATCACATGCTGGTGTTTTCTACATTTAGCCTCACAGGAAGCACATTTTTTTTTCTTTTCAATATTGCTGTTTAAGGTGCACAAACAGAAGGGCTTTTCTGTCTGGTGGAGTTGGTAATGTACTGGTTTATAATTAAATAAACTATGGTCGTCAAGTATCCTGTCAAAACGAAATATCGATTTTGTAATGATGGGTTGGTTTGTCTAAACTATTAAGCCTTTACCATCCATGAGTGATTCTCCTCGCTATACAATATCAGTACAATATCAAGCAGACAAGTAATGAGAATAAAGAAAAATGTCAATTAGGGAATCAATAATTGATCCAATACCAGACTCTCTGAGCTAACTTCATAAGAATTATGTAACAGACAGTAAGGAAAATTACGGATGAGATCTTATGAGTGAAAGGGTTAAGAGTTAAACTGAACTTTTAACAGAAACGCATGTGAGTGATTAAGATTTCAATTAGCCGTGGAGGGGGGAAGAGTAGGGACAGGGCGGTTTTTACCTCCACTGTTGTGTGTCATTCAACTCAGGTGGTAAACCTTCGTTTGCTGTTTGAAGAGAACTGCCGACCTCACCAAGGCTACATAAACCTGTCACTTGATTCAGATCTCGTCCAGATGATTGTATTTGTAAATTCAATCCCCAATTAAACACGTCCACCCGAACATAAACTCCTGAAGGAAAATACGCCTACAAAGGAAGAAACAGATCAAAGTTACTGGTCACAGAAAATGGTGTCTCAGAAACTTCCATTTTCTTCAAGCGACGAAAACCTAATTAGGTGAAGTCTGTGCTCGAGCCAAGTGGCCCACCCAGCCGGTAACTATCCCGGTTTCCTTAGAATGAAACGACCAGGTTATCACTCCTACCCCCTGGATTGGATGTAAATCCATTGCAAGCTCACTCCCACCTTCCAGCATTACATCAGGCTTTCCTGACAGTTTGCCGGTACCCATTTATACTCCAGGGGGGAGGCACTGTGGGAGTGAACTGTCAAGTCTCGATCCCAGACCTCTTGACCAGGCATCCAGCCACTAATTACCACCGCGTCTCCTATAAGGAAAATCCAATTAGAAGAAGAAAACATTCGTCGCTTCACGACTTTTTTTTGGTCCCAATTGTTGGTGTTCATGCACCCACCGTGTACCGTTTTCCAGTTATAGCCTCTGTTATCCGTACTCCTTTTGCAAGAGGTAACCTGGACCTAATAGATATTTGGACACTGGTCTCCTTAAATCTTCCATGGCACATATCGATCTCGATTACGTCATCCCCATCTCTTGCAGCGACTCCACATGCGCAAAATCCCCGGTTTCTAGACCTGCTACAAGCCCAAAATCGCGTGTGAACCTGTAATAGATTGAACAAACAAAGACATGACACTTGTGCACAGGACCTTCTAAGGAGAGTAAGAAGGGAATGGTATAAAGCTGCACCTAAATATTCCACTACAACGACTACTGCAAACCTCAAACGGCCTAGTTGAACTTTTATACAGCAGAAATGTCGTCGCTCCGGCTGAAATCCGGTAATACCTGTCAGTGAGTTAGCAAATAGGAAATACTCATAAGTCGAAAAAGCCTTTGTATGAGAGTACTTGAAGGCACAAAACTATTCACACGTTTTAATGCTGTTTATTTTGCCTACGATGTATTCAATATTTACTGAATCTACTTCTTAATTTGATTGTCTGCCTATTTAATGAAGTAAACAAAGAAGCCTAGATCAGTAACGAAACGGAAAAACGATACAAATCGCTCTGTACTTCAGAAGCGACCTACTCTAGCAAAAACTACCTTCACTGATGAGCTGTTACCTGCCGGTGAGTGTCCTCACATGAGACTCCGTGAATAGGTAACATCGTGGGGTTTTCACATCCTTCGAAAGAACCTGTTAAAAAAGAAATGCCAGGACAAAACCTGAATGACATACGACCTTGATTACGAAAGAAATGCTTTCCATTAAACAAATATTTATATATATACGTACACACATACATAGATATGTATATATATATATATATATATATATATACATACATTTTTTCCCTAACTCAATACACACACACACACACACACACACACACATATATATATATATATATATATATACAAATATAGCATTTGCATCTGAAATGTAATGCTTACAAAAACATCAGCTGGATCGTAAGATTTCCACAGCAGCGACTGGCTCCGTGCAGGCTCCGTTATAATACGTGTCCTGCGGTCTCCGTCATTAACGTAGTCTGAAACAGCAACAAACCGAACAACCTTGCGCCCACAGTCACGGCGAGAGCAGGGTTGCGGTTTCAGTATCACTTCACAAGTGGATAGGGCTATATCTGAAGTAAATAACGTCTGTAGATGGTCTACTGAGTAGAGACAACAAAGCAGACAGACTAATTAGCTACACCTAGGCATCGATGTTTCTTTCACGCGGGAACTGACACAACGTGAAACGTGTGCACATTAAAAGGACTCTTGTCCGTAGTAGTGATTAAGGTTTCGATAGCCCTAGCGGAAGTCATCTTCAGAGTCAAGTGAAGATTTGCTGACAGTCGAGTGCTTTAACTCCGGTTCGTGTGAACTGATTGGTCAGTTTAGCCATGATATTAATGGCAGTAAGACCCACGTGGCGTAAGGTAGTCGTGATTGAAGGGGGTACGTTTCTGAAGAAACTGTGTTGCTGCGTCGGTGGGAGAGTATAACAGGGTAATTTGGTGTTATCAACTGATTTGGTAAAGTAAATTGGCCACATTTAAGAGTTTCAAAGCTGAAGTTTCGAGCGTTAGCCCCTCGTCATTCGCACTGACCAAGGAGCTAACGTTCGAAACGTCAGCTTTGAAACTCTAAAACTCTGGCCAATTTACGTTATTAGCTCTGTTGATAATACCAAATTACCCTGTCGTGATTAGTCGGTTTCGACCCATCGATAATGTTTAGTCTTCTTGTTCGGTTAGTTTGTGGTATAAATGTCGTGAATAAGTCGTTTGTAGGTTGCCATTTTTTGTAAACTATCATAGTTGTATGCTTCATACCTACTGGTACTAAGTGCATTGATATCCGTATCGTGCAGTTGGGGTGGTCCGGCTGACAGATAAGGGGCACTGTTAGTCTCAAAACGAATTCCCTGATTTTATGGTCCTCCGAGGTAACAAGAGACGAAGGTTCAACCTGTCAGAAATGATGATATCATTTGGTTTCTGCTGGGCACGAGGTAGAGAGGAAGCTGAAATGGTGGCAGTGACATGCTCTATGCTCGAGCTAAATGGCCCATCCAGCCGGAGCTTATCCAGGTTTTCTTTCCATGAAGCGACTAGGGGTATCCATATCCAAACCCCCCCCCCCCCCCCCCCCCCCCCCACCTCCCCTAACCACAAGCTTACCCTCCATCAGTGCTGGGAGAATATCATAACAATAGCAAGCAAATCGAAAAGTAGATACTTTGGTATTCGCGCCGCTAATTTTGAGCAGGTAAACTAAAGCAAAGAAGAGTTGACATTTGTTTTACATTTTTAAAAGGTCTATTTTTTATGCCCAACCGAGCGCCTTGAAAAGATGTCACTTCCTCTTTGATTATGACTTTTACTATAACTGGCGTAAAGGGACTACAAAGCTTTACAAAGGGCTCAAAGACCTAGTTTCACTCTTCACGTCTAAGTCAATGATGAGGGGAAGAGTGAGACTTGCCTTAATTCCAACGAAGAAATCATCGCTGGAGAAAGTAGGACTTGTTCGTTCTGGACTCTCTAAGAAAAACGCCATCACTTCACAAATGATCTGAGGAAAAACAAACAATACTCATGACCTTCAACAACAATAACCACGAATTCATCTTATTATCAACATCGAGCAGCACTCACTCTGTCGCCGAGGTAAAACTCAGCTGACTTGGTGCTAATTACCACCGCGGTCTCTTCTGTCCTGTTGGATAGCAGTACCAATTTCCCAGGCTTTCCACCCAAGAAGCTTATGAGTTTATACCATGTGACTTTGTACCCAACTCGATAGGGTCCTGGAGCCAAGATGTCGTACGTACACAGAAGATGGATTGATTCACCTGCCAGGATGTTATCCGGGGGGACTACTGGTGTGATCTGTGGGGGACCATCCAAAATGGGATATTGTTCGCGAACTGTGAAGAGATATTTAAGGTGATAGTATTTGGTGAATATCAGTTTATTGACTGTGTTGTAAAAAATTACTACTTAGCTTCTTAAAGTTCCTACAGCGGCCACCGTCGAGATATCACGTAGCTTACTCCTGTTGTATACCAAATTGATGTGGTCTCTCGTCTAACCTGCTGTTGATATATTACTTACCTCTACATTTTGGTGCATATCCTATCTTACCGGGTCCACAAGGAACTTTGTCGGCTGAAAAAAAAATTCTACAATTACTTTTTTATGTATATTTTTGGCTTTTCGTTTTCAAGTCAACCAGCCAACGGAAAAGGAACCAAAGAGGAGTTCTACTAGTTGGACATCATGCTGTGTCACTGGGTGAGTGCACAGCGGAGCTGAAATAATTTTGGCTTTTTTAGGGAATATATGAGGTAGTGGGTGCACCCTGTTTGGTCCGAAGGTGTGTTTAAACGAGAGTATGTAAACACAATGGTGGAGTTTTAGTTTCACGGATGTTTTTAGGAATGTCTAATAAAAGCAGAGATGTCTTTCATGTGTTTACATAGCCTCATGGAAACACTCGCGAGGTTGGCAGATTACGAGACAGTCATAACAACCCAAGACACTTCACTGAGTTTAGTTTGAAAAAGAAACCTACAAATATACTTGTACCAAGGTGGAGTTGCTTGCCTGACAAATTTTAATCACCTTCTTTAGCGCAGTAAGCCGAGCAATCGTCCGTCCTCTTTAAATGATAAACTAAGAAGCCACCACAGTGAATCACGCGAACAGGTAACCGCCACAAGCAACAAAACCTGTCCACTCCCTCCCATGCTACGCATGCGCTGCCATTCTTCTCCTCTCCAAACTCGGGATGTCCCGCGGGTTGCAACCAAATCTGAGCATGCGTACCACACGAACCAATCTCAGGGCAGCTCGTAGGAATTTCGGCGGGAATCCCATCAAGCTCCAACTTGTACCAAGCCTCCTCTAACTTGTTATCACACAGGGGGAGCACTGAGTCCACTTGATTGGACTGTGCACGTGCAGGAATGTCGAGAATTTTGTGACCTGATGGGTGACACTGTGGTTTGTCTACGGCATAAATGAAGATGACAATTTACTGTGATGTAGAAATGACGTCGCTGAGGAGCGAGTGTAAATACTAATATCTCAGTCACCTCTTCTAAACTGTCGCTATCAAAGAAACCTGCATCTTTGCAAATGTTTCAAACGGAAGAAAAAGAGCGTAGCAGTCAAGATATCGGTGAAAAGAAAATGTTTGAGTCAAGTTGATGGGTCTAGTATTGAGTATTAATCGAGTTTCCTGGTGTGAGGTCAGTAATCACATGGAAACTACAACAACAACCACAACAACACCAGATAAGAGGACATTTGGTAAATGCATAACCATATGACCTTACAGAGTAAATTGCTCATTCTTTCACTGATATGACCATTCCAGTTCACAGATCATCGTGATGATTAGATAAGACATGTCTAAACAACGGAAATTCAATAAAGTCGTTTCCGATGAAATCTTCCGTATGAGTATTGGGTCAATTTTTGCTGCGTTTGTGCCTTTGGCCTCCCAGAACCCCTACCCCATAACTGAAGCCAGATATAGACCCCATCGTAGTCTTTTGAGCAACTGTAATTTTCGCACTCCCAAGTTAGTCACTTTCTGGTTATGCATTTACCATATGAAGCCTTTTAAAAAGGAAAGCACGACTTGAAATACGGTAACAATCTTTCACGCGCGAAATCACGAAAATGTGCAACCTCTTTCTAGTAACCCTATTGAAAATGCAATTCCACTATAGTCAATCCAGTTGTGAAAATACGACCCCAATCAGAGGCACATTCCCATTTGCTTATAAGGAAGTACTCCTCTCCTCCC